ACTCTTTAACCCTTTTTGAACAACTAGTCCTAAAACCATTTTTAACTCTTTAACCCTTTTTGAACAACTAGTCCTAAAACCATTTTTAACTCTTTTTCTCTACTCTTCTTTACTAACAGTGATCATACTGGCAACACCAGCAGAGGAATTGCAATCCTTCCCCACATCCCTACAATCCCTGTGKAATTTCCATGGTCACCTGAGCTGCAGGATAACTTTTAGTGAAAAAAGAAAAAAATCATTTATTCCTGGGGAAAATCCACTATAGGGAGTTTTTGGAGTTCTCCTCTGGAAGGAAATGGCTGCTGCTGTTAATGGAGGTGGTTTTATGAGTCTGACATACTGAAGGCTTTCCAGAAGACAATAATTCAACATCAAATCTTGAGTCCAACTTTTGCTACTTCAGACGATTTTGTTCTCCTGAAATACGATTGCCAGAAGCCTCTGCTGGGAAAAATTATGCTTATAAAATAAAACACTTCTAAACAAACAACACACCACCATCCACAGATGGGAGAGTTTATAGATCAGGTTCATATCTATTTGATGGGATATTTTTAGTTGTGGATTGATGAGTTGTAGGCAGCTTTCCTCAGAGAATATGATGGTATTTGGTATGAAGTCTACAAAGAAATCTTGCACTGTGATACTACTCAGAAGTAATTCTGGGGATGCAGGTTTTGTATTCAGAAGATGTTTTGGGGATACAGGTTCTGTATTCAGAAGATGTTTTGGGGATACAGGTTCTGTATTCAGAAGCTGTTTTGGGGATACAGGTTCTGTATTCAGAAGATGTTCTGGGGATACAGGTTCTGTATTCAGAAGCTGTTTTGGAGATACAGGTTCTGCCTGTCACAGAGCCAAGATCTCACCTCAACAATGAGGAAAATGATTTTATCTGTCTTATCACAGTTGTGTTATCATAGCTGTGCTGCAGGATGGCTCAAACCGAAATGCTGATGGCCAGGATTGGAAATAAGATTGGAAAAAGCCATCAGTGAGTGAAATGGGTGACCTTGTCCTCTCCTGATAGGTGAAGTGCTGCTTTGTCTGCAGTTTCTTTTGCTTCCCTGAAATAATGAGTCTGAGTTGTTTGCAGCATGTACTGGGGGCTGTTTACCTTACCAATAGAATAAAGCTTCAGTTTCTTACCCTTAAATTGAGAATTTAGATAAGATTAGACTTGTATAAGGGTGATAGYTATTAAATGCAAGCCTTAAAATGAAGGGATGTGCTCTTGAATTGCAGTAAAAGAAAATTTTCCTTTCCAGTGGAAAGCAGGGCAGGTGTCCCTCAGTTAGTGACAGCAGCAGGGATTTTGTAATGAAGCTCTGTTGATGCTGGAGGGGCCCATGGAGAGGTTTTTCTCAGAGCAGGGACTGGCAGGCCACTGCYACCAAACTGCTTTTTAGAGCTCCTCACCCAGTGGGCCAGACAAGCTTTCTCCAGCTTCTGGAAGAA